CACAGTAAATTGATCGATTGATTTTATTTGTCAAAGAATCCTGAAAAAATGTACCACAAAAATATTAGGATGCACAACTTAATAATGAGAAATGTTTCTAAGAAATGCTTCATACTGAGCACTGGTTCAGTAAACGATTCCACAATGAAAACTAGAATAATGACTGGTGAAAATTCAGCTTTCAGGTATAAATTGCATTTTAAAATATATTAAACTTGAAAACGGTTATTTTAAATGGTAATTATATTTCATAATATTACTGATTTTATGTTTATTTACTTACATTGGTAAGCATAAAATACATCGGTAACACTTTACAATAAGGTTCCATTAGTTAATGTTAGTTAATGTATTAACTAACATGAACAAACAATGAAATCTTTGACGTGCTTTGTGAAAATATACTGCTGCAGGATGGCATGCTTGTGTTAGAGCAGAGGTTGCTGCATCAGATCAAACTGTTCATCACCAGATCAAAGCCTGCTTGATATTATGAATGTCTCTGGCATGTCTTACATCTCCAAACTAAGTCACTGATTATCATTTGAGTGTAAATTGATAGAGAGACTTGGGTGACAGCATTGGCGTATATCCTCACTTTGTGGCACCAGCTTGTGTCAGGGAAGTCTTTTGCAGACCTTTTTGGTTTTCCCTCCTCTCTAGTGGCCAAAACACCTTTGTGGGTTGTTTCAGATCCTTTTTATCCATTTCAGGAAATGCATACCTGCATTAAACCCCATTACAGTTCAAATGTACGAGCCACGGTTAGTGTTATTTTCTGGCAGCAGTTTGTGCCTGACCTGTTTTGATGTTATGCTGTCCTTTATGTCTGTGCACTTTATGCAAGGTGTAACTGTTTTTTTTCTCCTTGAGGACAGCTGCATTAAAGCACTCACTCACATTCACAGCACTGCAAGACTGCTCTAGATTTGGGTCAGCACAGTCGTTTGCCCTAGGCTTGCTTTTGCATAGCAACAAACATTATAGCCTCAAGGGTTAAATAAGGGGTAATTATGAGGACATCACATTTGACTCAGACCTTTTAGTAAGACATCATTCAACTCGATCTATTTCCAATATCCCTAAAACTGTCTTTCGGTTATTGTAAAAGAAGTTCCTTGTATTTGTCAGTTATTGTGTGAGGAAGGCAGAAATGCTGTTCTCAGCGGTTTCAGCTTTTGAGGCTTTAATAGACTTAATTCGATCGGCTCACAATGGGAAAATCCTGACACGTTGACCACCTTTCACGTCAGCAAATTTAATACATTTTAGGTTTTGAGTGCAGGTTCAGCATGGTGTTACATATAGTGTACAGTACGTTTTTATGTTGTTGTTGTTGTTTTTTGCACTGAATGCACTGAATATAGAGTATGGATTATGAGACAGCTTCCTCATTGTCCTTTTAAGCCATTCTGGAAAACAGTATGTCACCCAGACATATCAAAATGAGCAGCACCCACTTCAG